TACCATAGTATATGCAACATTATTATTTTTTTGTTTTTGGTACTGGGAATTGAACTTATGACAATGAACTTGCAAGGTAGGCACTTATGCCACTGAGCTAAATCCCTGGCCCCTAAAATGTCTACTCTTTTTTTTTTTTTGCTGCTACTGGGGTTCAAACATACAACCTTGACTCTCCAGGTAGACGCTTATGCTGCTGAGCTAAATCCCCAGCCTCTATGCAAACTTTAAAGAAGAGAAACAACTTGACTAGTTAATAGAGGTATGACCCCAAAGTTTATGAAATTATCACGCAGAATACTCAATGTGGATTTAGAGGACATAAGCAAAAAGTTGGAAGCTGACTAAAATGGTTCAAACATTAAATGAAAATTCACTCAAAATATAGAATCCAGGAATAAATATCAGAAACAAATACCTGAAAGGCAACTATGTAAAGTTCAAAACTTACAGATATGACCGACATGAAGACAGAGTGCTTGAAATGGAAAACTAATGGTACATGATGACATCAGAAGAGTTTGGAGGGAAATATTTCAAGCCTATGAGCAAAGAACTTCCACACAGACTAACATAACTGGTAAAAGTGTTTTTCAAAAATAAAGAGATTTAAGGACATTTAATGAAAAGAAAGATTCAAGAAGTTTATGATTATTAATTCTGCACTCTAGAATATCCTACACATAAATGATGGTACCAATGAAGCTAAAAACCTAGCTGGAGTAAAACATCAAGCAAGGTCAGTGGGTGGGCACGAACAATGAATGACAGGAAAAGAAAAACAAAAGAATCCCTTATAGAGAAAGTGTACAAAAATAAGAACTAATCAACAATGTTCTGTAATATCTCTCAACATTAATGACCTCATCTCTACAATTAAATGATACAGATTGGCAAAGTGTTTTTTGACAGAATCCAACAGTCTGTTGCATTTAGGAAACTCATCTAATGCAAAAAATATATTCACAGTGCAAAAATCAAAGGATGGAAAATAATATTTTATGCAGCAGGACCCTCAAAAGAAGCAAGAGTAGCAGTTTTAATCTCAGATAATATAAATTGTGAACTGATCAAAAGGGACAAAAAGTCATTATGTACTATTGCAGAGATCAGTCAAGCAAGAAGAGGTAACAGTTTTTGAAAAAATATCCAGAAAGGTAATAGCTAGATGAGACAGCCAATCCAAGCTTTCTGAGGAACCTTCACACTGATTTCCACAGTGGTTGTACCAGTCTACATTCCCAACTATACTGGAGAAAGTTTTCTTTTTCCCCACAGCCCCTCCAGCATTTGTTAGTGATTACTTGATGATAGCCATTCTTTCTATGGTGAGGTGGAATCTCAGTTTTGTTTTAATTTACATTTCTTGAATGATCAGTGATGTTGAACATTGTTTCCTATGTTTATTTGCCATTTGTATTTTTTTTTATTGGTACTGGGGATCGAACTCACGACCACCTGCTTGCAAGGCAGGTGCTTATGCCGCTGAGCTAAAGCCCCAGCCCCCTTTTGTATTTCTTAATCTGAGAAGAAAACATCATAGAACAGCAATATATGTGCACTCATGTTTATAGTAGCACAAGTTGTAATATCTAAATCTTGGAAACAACCCAGCTGCCCACCACCTGCAGAAAAAGATGTTGTATTTTTATTTATTTACTTCTTTTGAAGGGAATAAAAGAAAACAATAAAATAGAATGAAACAAAACAGTAAAAACAATATTGAATTTCAAAAACAAGACAGAAAGGAATCCTCCATAGTTCCTATATTGTGTATTGTTATCCTCTAAACAGATACTCAACTGGCCCCAGGCCTTCAAAGTCAATCAATCAAGACAAGCACTCTGTTGTTTTCTACCTCAATTGTTAGCCTGTGTTCCTCTGAATCAATTAGTTGCCTACACAGGGCTGGTGGTGGAGGTTTTTCTTGTTTTCCAGGCCACACGCTAGGTAGATCATGGGAAGGGTAGGCTGACTTAGTGATTCTCTTCCTGGCCTGTATGGCTGCCACTGGCTCATTGGAGGGATGGGGTGACTATTTGGTTCTCTTTCTGGCCCACAGCTGTCATAGGCTCATGGAAAGGGTGCTATGACTTTTTCTTTCTCTTCCTAGCTCATGGCTGCTGCTGGCTCATGGCAAGGGTGGGCTGATTTCTTGGTTTTCTCTCCTGGCCTGCATGGCTCAAGATGTGGTCTTTTTATACAATAGAGTATTAATCAGTGATAAAGAAGGATAAACTTGGGGATTTTCTAGGTAAATGGGTGCAACTTGAAACCATTCTCATAAATGAAATATATCAAAGTTGCATATGTAAATATCATATTGTCTCCCTAGTATAAAGACTGAAAGAGTAAATAAGATCCAAAATGCACAATAGATACTGTGAAAGGGCAAGGGAAAGTAACTGCTCAAAGGGAAAGAACAAGTGGGATAGGGAAAAAGAGAAAAGAAAGAAGGGAAAAGATTATATATAGTAATGCTAATAATCTGTTAGTTCATAAAAAAGACCAGGTTGTGCTTTTGGTGTGTGATCCTGTTTTCATTACTACATCTTGTAATCTGAACAACTAGTTTGAAAGTCACAATGCACAGTACATTAACCAATGTTAATCTCCTATTGTTTTGTTTTGAAATTCTGCATAGTTTTAATTCTTTTTGTTTTCAAATTTAAAAAGAAGAGGTATTAGTTATAAATATTTATGCACTGAGTATTGAAGTACCTAACTTCATAAAACCAATACTGTTGAACATAATACTAATACCATCATAGTGAGAGATCTTAAAAACACATTTTTTTCAAGAGTACATCAACCATACAAAACATTCAATAAGGAAGTATCAGAGTTGAACCACAACCATGGGCATATGGACTTAATAGCCATCTATAGAGTATCTGGACTTACTACAATAGAGTATATGTTCCTTTCTCCAGCTCATGGCATTGTCCATAAAACAGATCACATACAGTCCACAAAGTCTGCCTAAATGAATATAAAAGAATCAAAGCCATTCAATGTGTACTAACAAATCATTGTGCAATGAAAATGGAAAGTAACCTTAGAAGAAGCCATAGAAAATTGAGAGGCAAGAGGATATTAGTGACACTGTCCTAAGCAACCAGTATGTCATAGGAGAAATCAAGAAAGAAATTTCCTGAAGATTTAAGAAATTTCTGGAAGGTAATGACAATGATGGTGCAAGTCAACAAAACCTCTGGGACACAAGAAGGTAGTCCAAAGAGGGCCATTTGTTGCAGTCAATGCTCACATTGAGAAAACAGAGTGCACTCAGAGCTATAACCTTATGAGGAACCTTAGGATCCTTAAACAACAACAATGATGGTATAATTAAAACCCTAGGAACATAAGACTGGGTCCAGTGATCCCATCTCCTATTTTCTGATGGAAATTTGTAACTTATCATACCAGTAGCTGGCTTTGTGTCTAAGTACCTTTCTCTGAGGGATAGATAAAGTAATCTATGTGTTTATTTGGCATGATGAGCAGAAGCTGTGAGCACATGTTCAAAAGTGGCAAAATGGGGTTTCTGCTCATCTTATGCTCAGCTAACTGATTTTGCGTACATTTACCTGAGCACTGCAGAGGGTTCAGTATACCCATACCACTCTGGGGTTTGTTAAAAAAAGTTTTCTTTGAGTTGTCTGGTAGAAGTTGGCCAATTCAGTATAATAGCACTTAAAAAAAAAAAAAAAACAGAAGCTCTGTCTGAATTCAATCAGGTTGTTTCTTTTCTAATGATTCACTTTTACCTACTCCAATACTTGCAAGTCTGTTTTTTCATGTAATTAAAAAATTTACTAAGAAAGAAAAGCCCAGGTTCTGGTGGATTTATTGCTGAATTCTATAAGAAGTTTAGAGATTTATTGCCACCACTCCTCTAACCCTTTAATTAAACTGAAATTAGAGCAATACTTGCTAACTCATTCCTGGAGGCAAGTGTTACTCTGATGCCAGAAAAAGAGGGAGACTCAACCAAAAAGAGAATTATAGGTTAATCTCTCTAATGAACATAGATGCAAACATCCTCAAAAAGATAATACAAACAGAATGTCGGAAATCAAGATTATATATCATGACCAGGTGGGGTTCATCCCTGGACTACAGAGAAGGTTCAACATACACAAATTAATAAATGGAACACACAGTGCTATCAGAGTCAAAGACCAATTCACATGATCATTTTAATAGATGCAGAAAAAGTTTTTGACAAAGTCTAACACTCATTTATGATAAAAGCCCTGCAGAAAATTGGAATATAAGGATCTTTCTCTCAACCTGAGGAAAGCCACCTATGACAAACAGCCAACATCATACTAAATGGACAATGACTGAAAGCTCTCACTCTAAAATCAGGGGCAAGGCGAGAATGTGTACTGTCACCACTCCTATCCAATGTAATTCTGGAAATATTAGCTACAGCAATTAAACATGAGAAATAGAAATAAAATGAATAAGGATAGGAAATGAAGCAGTTAAATTGTCAGATGACATGATATTTTACATAGAAGACCCCCGAATCTCATGATATTATCCCATAGAAGACCCCAAAAACTCCACCAAAAGACTTCTAGATTTAAAAAAAATTCAATTGTGTAGCTGGATACAAGTCAACACTTAGAATATCAATAGCGTTCCTGTTCACAAACAACAAATTCACTGAGAAATTATGGAGCCCACACCCTTCACAGCAGCATCCAAAAAAAAAAAAAAAAAAGGAAAAGAAAAGAAAAAGAAATACTTAGGAAGCAGTGTCAGAAAGTGGAAGATGGATACATTGGAAATTGTAATACTGAGAAAAAGGATATCAGAAACCGAAAAGATATCCTTTGCTCATGAATGGGAGGAACCAACATTGTGAAAATGATCATGCTTCCAAAATACAGATTAAATGCACTCTTGATCAAACTAACACTAGCATACCTTACCAAGGAACAGGAACCAATCAGCGACGAAGCGGCAGGCTGTAGGAACTATCCAATCAGGTCGCTGAGGGAGGCGGGCTCTTCCTGTTTCATGGCGCCACAGTGTACACTCTCTGTGTATTGCGGGTCCCCAGCTGACTAGAGCACCTTCTGTAACTTCTACTGGCTTCAGGCTGCATTTGAAGGATCCTGGGAGACCGTCAAGCCGCGCAATGGTGAGGTTGTGGGACGGGAGCTGGGAATGGGATGGAGTCGGATGAGTTTTGGAAGAAAGTGGCCAGAACCCGATGTGGAAATTGACACTCTCCCTATTTAGCTCCAGACTCACAGGTCTTGTAGACTTTGGTGCTGCGTCATCCTCTGTCCCCCTTTGCCTTTGCATCCTGTCTCCTGTCTTCTTGGGTGACCCCAGGCACAGCTGTATCTCCGCCAGTCTGGGGAGAGCAGGGGTTTTGGAGTAACCCAGAATTCTATACGTTAGCAATAGAAAAAAGTCACTTTATTTACGCAAGACGTCGACTCACAGTGATTATACTGCATAAATGGAACTCGTGGTCTCACAATATTGAGGGATGAGGTTCGGAGCCAAAAGAAGGGTGTTAGAGATATTTTACGGGCTGGTGGGGGGGAGGATTGTTACCTGGTTTTCAGGAAGCTTCCAGAGTCAGTGGCCATGTCTGTCTGCTCAAGTCAGAGCTAATGTAAATACAGTAAGCAGAGCACAGTAATTGCACATTTCTTTAGTTGCCATGCATTATGGGTGGCTCTGTGGATTTAAGACAGTCACTGCGGACTCAGGCTCTCTAAGCCATTTCCTTAGCATGCAGGGTTTAAATGAAATGATTTTAGAGAAACATTGGGTCTGTATTTTAAGTTCCTGGAAACTTGGGACCTTACTAGAGAGTGGCTGTAATTCCGTTGAGGTCAGAGGGTGCTGTATTTCTTATTGTGCGGAAATTTCGTTATTTGTCCAAAGTTCTAGGTGATTTATTCTATTTGCATTTCAATTCTTGTCAAAATGACTATTTTTATCTGAAGCTCTTTCCCTAGTTTAGGTGCCTTATTTATATAACTAAATAAAATATTCTTTTTAGTGAGACTGTTTAAATGAGGCTTTCAATGGAGTTTCAAATGCTGAGTAAAATGAAGGGGATGTTAAAGTATTACCAAAGGAGGGGAAAATGTTCCTGTTAAGAGTGACTTCCTGTAGGGGCTGCCTGATAAGCTCACGCTGAGAAATGCATTCAACAACGACATCTACAAGGGACATATACATGGGGTATTGCTATGAGTGGAAAGGGAAAGAAGTGTCATCTCTGAAATAATTGCTGTACTACTTGGTCTAATTCTAGACACAGTTTTAAAAACTGAAATATTGAGGGCTGGGGATTTAGCTCAGTGGCTTAAGCAACTGCTTTGCAAGCTCATGGTCCTGAGTTCCATCCCTGGTACCAAAACAACCCAAAAAACCAAAACAAAAAATTGAAACACTGATTGACGTGAACTTGGTATAAAACAAGTACTGAAGTATGGGTAAATCCCTATATTTAAGGTCTGTGGACCTGTGAATGAATTTGAATAAAATAATTTCTTAAAATTTTGAAACCAATAAGAAAAAAGACACTATAGTACCCAGTGCTGATCACGGAGTGTCATGCTGTGAAATGCAGCAATACTGTAATTCTTTGTTCAGAATGATTTTAACCTGCTCTAGTTTGTTTAATCTAAACATAAATGAAGATATGGATAATTGCATGTATGTTTAAGTGTATAGGATTGACAACTATGTTACTAAGTTTTTGTTGGACAGTTGAACAGAACCGTTTGCAGTCTCGCTGCTTCCCACTTTACATGTTCCATTTTTGTATCTTGAACAACTATTTGTAAAACGACAATATGATGTTTTCTTACTGTTTATTTTTTTCTCTGAACGTATGTATTATTTCTACCTATTTTCTGTTTTGTTTAGTCTTTAAATAAAATTTTAAAAATTAAAACCAATAAATAAATTATTCAATAAATAAGTAAATAAACCCAAAAACAATGATACAGAATTTCATAACAACATAATAGGTGAATTACAATGGTTAATATTGCATGTTGTTATCTTCAAAGTAGTTTTTCAGATTAGAAGATATAGGCATGAAAAAAATGATCAAACAATAAAAACATCGTTATTTTGATGAACAGAAGTTGGTAGTATAATTATCTATCGTGTATATATATAATCTTTTGCCTTCTTTTTTTTAAATTTATTTTTTATTTTTTGAGAAGGGGTCTCTCTATGCAGTTCAGGCTGGCCTTGAGCTCAATTTGCAGCCCAGGCTGGTCTCGAACTCTCAAGGATGCCCCTGCGTCAGCCTCCCAAGTGCTGGGATTACAGGCGTGAGCCACTAAGCCTGTCTTCCCTCCTTTCTTTTCTTCTTTTCCTTATCTCAATTGTTTTTTCCATTTTGGCAGTTTCTTCCCCTTTCAACAGTATCTATTATACATTTTGAATCCTATTTACTTTGAGTTTTTTACATTAGGGAGACAATATAGTGTTTACAGGTGTGAGTCTGATTTATTTCATTTATGGATATGGTCTCAAGAGGCATCCATTTGCCTATGAAAGCCTAGCGTTTATCCTTCTTTATAGTTGAGTATTACTCCACTGATTAAAAATACCACATCTATTTTATCCGTTCTACAGTTGACAAGCATTTGTGTTATTTCTAAAATTTAGCGATTACAAATTGTGCTGTTATAAACATGGGTGCATATATGTTATTGTGGGAAAAATTTTAGCCAACTGCCCCTCAGACCAAAATAATTCTATCTAGAATGAATTAAGAACTGAAAAAAATTAGGCCCCCCAAATTCAAAGACCCAATCCAAAAATGGGCATCTGAGATGAATATGAATATAAATGACAAATAAATGTATGAAAAGACGTTCAACATCACTGGTCATTCGAGAAATGTAAATTAAAACAGCACTAAGATTCTATCTCACTCGAGAAAGAATGGTTATTATCAAGAAGTCAACCCGTAACAAATGCTGGCAGGGCTGTGGAGAAAAAGGAACTCTTTTCCACTCTAGCTGGGAGTGTACTCTGCTACAACCCCCTTGGAAATCAGTGTGGAAATTCCTCAAAAGACTAAGATTGGAAATCCCATTCAATCCAGCTGTTCCACAGCTGGGTATTTTCTCTGAAGAACTGAAAGCATCATACCACAGTGATATATGTGCATTCATGTTTATAGCAGCACAATTTGTAATGGCTAAATTTTAGAAACAACCCAAATGCCCATCCCTTGCAGAATGGATAAAAAAGGTGTGGTATGTTTATACAATGGAGTATTACTCAGCTATAAAATGATAAATTTGAGGCTTTTATAGGTAAATGGATGCACCTTTAGACCATACTCATAAATGAAATTAGATTCACATATGTAAATATCATATTATCTTCTTGTGCTAAAAATTGAAAGGGTAAATAGGATCCAAAATATATGATAAAAAGGAAAGTAAAGAAACTGCTCAAAAGGCAAGAACAGGGGCTGGGATGTAGTTCAGCAGCATAAACGCCTGCCTTGCAAGCAGGCAGTCATGAGTTTGATCCCCGGTACCGATAAAAAGGAAAAAGAAAAAAAAAAAAAAAAAAAAAAAGGCAAGAACAACTGGGATTGGGGAAAGGAGAAAAGATAGATGTATATAAAATCTTTTCGTCCCTTCAGATTAGTAGTATAGTTATCATATATATGTGTGATAACTACTAAACTAGTACGGTTATTTGTCAAAAAGAATAATTTGTGTTTTCATCGTTTGACTGGTCATAATGCCTGCATCTTATCTGAAGAACTACTTTGAAGATAAAAAAATGCAATATATTAAGCAGTGTTAATCACTTGTAATTTTGTTTTAAAGTTCTGTATCATTATTTTTATTCTTTTTTGTTAAAAAGAAACAAAAATCTTTGACCTTATTTCCTACTATTGGCACTTAATTCTAACTATTTCTAAATACATTTTATGACTTATTATTGAGACTATTTATTGAACACTGTATTTTGTAGAGGGCATGGAGCTCATGCTTAAAATCTTAGCACCTGGGACTTCATTGCAGGAAGATCAATACGAGTTTGAGGCCACCCTAGACTACGTAGTGATTTCAAGGCCAGCTTGAATTGATAGTGTGAGATCCCCTCTAAAAACATGAAAAAATTGTATTTGGAATGAAAACAGCATGAGTGGACTGAGAATGTAATTCAGTGGTAGAGTGCATGGTCAATGTGAGTGATGTCCGTAATTTTCCCTTGAGTGAGGAAAAAAATGCGAACTGAGAATTACAAATTTTTCCCTTGTCTATGATTTCAAATGCTTCCATATTACAGTCTATATAAAGTGAAGGAAATTTCATATGTCATAACAGAGAATTTTTACGTGTTTATTGTTTGGAAAAATATTTAAACAGTGTAAATATTACACTGTATTAGATTAATATTAGATTTAAATACCTATTGTCTGTATATTTCTAAGACCTTAGTCTCAAACTTGCAAATGAGTCTCTTGCCTCAGCCTCCCAAGTGCTGGGATTACAGGTGTGCTCCACCATGCCTGGCTGCATTAGCAAGTTTTAATTACATTTTTGACTCATGCCAAATTTGCAACCATATGTATATTGATAGATTGTACGTCTATTTCTGAGTGAAGATGTGCTGTTTACTAGAGTTTTCAAAGAAAGTATATATTTACAGTTCTATGCATGCCAATGTAAACTCCTGCTCATTTGCCCATTCTGACCTTCAAATCGTGATCCTCTTGCTTTAGTCTCCATAGAAGCTGGGTTTCCAGGTATGTAGGATCCCTCCCATCTCCCTTCTTTGTTTTATTTCATAGGAATTAAAATGTCTGCACTGAAAGCTCAATATACAGATTAAAAAGAAATCAAAACATCTGAGAAATCAGTGAAAAGAAACACTGTCAGAGAAACATTTTATAAAACACTTAAATCAAATATAAGTTTCCAAGAATTAGCCCTTTGTGAGAAGGATTATAACCTGGTCATTCATGGCTGCAGTTCTGTTCCATGTCTTTTTTTGTAGTCAGTATGAATATAACCAAATGAATTGCACAAACTTGGCTTAAGAACTTAATATATTGGTCTCATGTTTCTCTTGCACTACATTGAATTTTAAGGCCATTGTAATGTGAACGAGAAAAAAAAGTGTAAC